CCTCGACTCTCATCCCAGGCCCTGGCTAGTGTCCTAAGATGGCGGCAGCCACATGTAACCAAACCTTCGAGTACCCTGACAATGGATTTCCAGGCAGCAGTGGGTGAACTGCAGGTGGTCTGCAGGCAGTTTTCCGGCTATCAGCAGGTGGACATTGGGCAATGGGTGATGGGCAGGCAAAAGGCACCGGGCAAACAGGCAAACGGTGGGCAGTCAATGGTGGCCAGCGAGCGATCTCAAAAAAGTTTTCTTTTGACAAATGAACATAGGAATGTCTGTCTATCCTTGATTTTCACTGGGGATGTTGTTGGGTCATTGTGTATTACTGAAGGTGAACCATGCTTTGTTTATTGGAATGCTCTATCAGCTTTAAGTATACAGAAGTTAGTAAATGCAGATTCAATGCCCATAATAACCTGGAATTACTGAAGGAAGACAATAAGTAGAAGAGACTTCATTCTCTAGAATGCTAAAGAAAGTCTACTGAAATACCCTATTAGGGGTTACAGAGGATGGGAGACAAATATAGCTCAAACTGTACATAAAACTAGTGTATGTTCATGAGTAGATAGGTATCATGCTTTACTTTTTATTTCATTTTGCCTTGACTGTTGATAACTAAGCAATGATGTGTTCTTCTRTGTTATTGAAACCTGAATATCAATTTGTCCTATTACATCTGATTTAACAAGATTCAGAAACTGTGGCTCTTACTTTATTTCCTATACTTAAATGTGTGTATCTCAATAGTATTTATTTTTTAAGTAGATGAACATAGTACCTTTATTTTATTTATTTTTATGTGGTACTGAGGAATGGAACCTAGTGCTAGACAAGTGCTGTGCCACTGAGCTACAATCCCAGTCCAATAGTGTATTAAAAAATTATTTTTTATTTTATTTATTTATCTTTATGTGGAGCTGAGGATTAAACCCAGSGCCCTCACACGTGCTAGAGCAATAGGTATATATTTGAAGTGATCAAAAAGGAATGTTGTTGCTATTTGCTATTTTAATAAAATACTTAAATCCCTTAAAARTAAATTCTGTTTATGTTTGAAAATGAGATTGTACTATGATTCATTTCTCATTGTCTGATTTGGTATGAGTGTTAAGTTAGTCTTATAAAATGAATGGGTATCTTTCAGCATTGTTTTCTAGTTTTCAGTGTACAAATCTTGTACATCTTTGATTAAATGTATTCCTGAGTATTGTGTTTTTATTTTTATTGGATTTTCTTGGACAGTATCASGAATATGAATGGGATTTGCTTTTTAATTTTTTTTTAGGTTTTATTGCTAATGGTTTCTTGTGTGTTTATTTTGTATCTTTTCACTTGCTGAATTTGCTTATTAGCTCTGTCAATTTTTTCTTTTTAATCTATACAGCTTTTGGGGGATAAAATCTTATTATCTCTTAAAAGAGATAGTTTTACTTCTTCCTTTCCAGTTTATCTGGAAAGTAGTTTGATTTTTTCACCTATTTGAAATGTGGTTGGAGAATATAATTTTTGTGAAACTAATCCTTTAATATGTGTTACTCATTCCTTTRATTTTACTTTATAATTTGTTTTTATCACCTATAGTCTATGTATATTTTTAAAATAACATATTGTTTAGTTTTGCTTAATTTTGAATTTTATATTAGTGGGATGGTTTATTGTTCTGGTATTTGCTTTTCTGTTCTGCTGTAGACTAAATTGTGTCTACCCACAATGTTGGAGTTCCAACCCTGATGTAATGGTAGTCAGAAATGGACTTTTCTGTAAATGATTAGATTAACTGAGATCATGATGTGGGACCCTCTTTGTGGCATTAGTTCCCTTATAAGAAGTAGTACTGGAGAGCTTGCTTCTTCTATTCTCCTTGCTATGTGAGGACACAGTGAGAAAGTGGTCAATTATAGGATAGCAGAAGAGCACTTCTCTACACATGACCATGCTGGCACCTTGGTCTTGGACTGATAGCTTCCTGAATCTTGTAAGAATATAAATATTGTTGTATAAGCCATCCAGTCTGTGGAATTTTGTCATGGAGGATTAAGCTAAAACTTTCTTTACCATATTAAGTTTTTAAGAATCATTCATATATAAGGATATAGTTTATAAGATCTTATTATGTCATTATTTATCTGTTCTGCAAATGGTGGACGTTTGAATTGTTTTCAGCTTTTTTTGTTGTTGTTACAAACATTGCTTTTATTAATAGTCTATGTATCTCCTGGTGCATGGGTTAAGAATTATTAGAGTTTTGTGCATGGTGAGAGAGGTTTAATTTCATTTTGTTGTATATGGATTACCAGTTTTCCCAGCACCATTTGTTGAAGAGGCTACCTTTTCTCTAATGCATGTTTTTAGCACATTTGTCTAATATAAGATAATTATAATTTTGTGGGTTAGTCTCAGTGTCCTCTCTTCTGTATCATTGGTCTACCAGTCTAGTTGGTGCCAATATCATRCTGTTTTTGTTACTGTTGCTCTATAGTATAGTTTAAGGTCTGGTATAGTGATGCCACCTGTTTTACTCYTTCTGCTAAAGATTGCTTTAGCTATTCTGGGTCTCTTATTTTTCCAGATGAATTTCATGATTGCTTTTTCTACTTCTATGAGGAATGCCATTGGGATTTTGATCAGAATTGCCTTAAATCTGCATAGTGCTTTTGGAAACATGGTCATTTTGATAATATTAATTCTGCCTATCCAAGAGCAAGGTATATCTTTCCATCTTTTAAGGTCTTCTTTGATTTCTTTCTTTAGAGTTCTATAGTTTCCATTGTATAGATCTTTCACCTCTTTTGTTTTGATTCCCAAGTTTTTTTTTTTTTTAGGTTATTGTAAATGTGGTAGCTTTCCTCATTTCCCTGTCAGAGGATTTGTCACTGATGTGCAGAAATGTCTTTGATTTATGGGTGTTGATTTTATATCCTGCCACTTCGCTGAATTCATTTACTAGTTGTAAAAGTTTTCTGATGGAACTTTTTCAGTCTTCTAAGTATAGAATCATATCATCAGCAAAACGTAGGCCTAATTTTCATCATGTCAGATTGGGCCTCAACTTCCTTAATAAGACTCCTATAGTGCGAGACTTAAAATCAAGTATCAATAAATGGGGTGGACTCAAACTAAAAAGTTTCTTCTCAGCAAAAGAAACAATCTGTGAGGTGAATAGAGAACCTACATCTTGGGAGCAAATTTTTACCCCTCATCCATCAGAGCACTCATCTCTAGTGTATATAAAGAACTCAAAAAGCTAACCACCAAAAAAACAAGTAACCCAATCAATTAAGGAGCAAAGGACCCGAACAGACACTTCTCAGAAGAGGATATACAATCCATTGACAAATATATGAAAAAATGTTCTCATCTCTAGCAATTAGAGAAATGCAAATCAAAACTATTCTAAAATTTCATCTCACTCCAATTCAAATGGCAGCTTTTATGAAGACAAACAACAATAAGTGTTAGCAAGGATGTGGGGGAAAAGGCACACTCATACATTGCTGGTGGGACTGCAAATTGGTGCAGCCAATATAGAAAGCAGTATAGAGATTCCTTGGAAAACTGGGAATGGAACCACCATTTGACCCAGCTATCCCTCTCCTTGGTCTGTACCCAAAGGATTTAAAAACAGCATATTGCCTGGACACAGCCACATCAATCTTTATAGCAGAACAATTCACAATAGCTAAACTGTGGAACCAACATAGATGCCCTTCAGTAGATGAATGAAAAAAAAAAATGTGGTATATATACACAATGGAATATTACTCAGCAATGAAAAAGAATAAAATCATGGCATTTCCAGRTAAATAGATGGTGCTAGAGAAGATAATGCTAAGTGAAGTTAACCAGTTCCAGGAAAACAAATGCCAAATGTTTTATCTGATGTAAGGATGTAAGGAGACTGATTCTTTGTTGGGTAAGGAGGGGGAGCATGGGAGGAATAGATGAACTCTAGATAAGGCAGTGGGGTGGGAGGAAAAGGGAGGAGGCAGGGGGTTAGAAATGATGGTGGAATGTGATGAACATCATTATTCAAAGTACATGTATGAAGACATAAATTGGTGTGAATATACTTTATGTACAACCAGAGATATGAAAAATTGTGCTCTATATGTGTAATAAGAATTGTAATGCATTCCACTGTCAATATATTAAAAAATCAATAAAAAAGAATTTGTTAGATATGTAATTACCAATATTTAAGTGTTTCTGACTTTCAAAACCAAGGGTTTCATATGGTGTAGAATAGTATTGAGGAGCAAAAATAAATGCTTGTAAATAAACTTCCTAAGTGATTGTACTCATTACTTTAACATATGTGGGATGAGAGTTTGCCTCCACATCTTTCTCAACATTGGATATTGTCATATTTTTATGCTCTTTTTGTACGTAGTGTTACACTTTTTTTTGTACTATGAGGCATGTTGAGGTAATTTTGCTCAGTTCTCGCAGTGTTGGGAAGCTGATTTTTTTTTAAAACTGGAATGTGAATTACTTGGTTGAGTTTAATAAATATTTAATTAACCAATTCTTGGTTTTAGCTTATGGTTATATAAAGATAAGTAAAGTGGAGGAACTCTTACCTCAGTCTATCTMCAAACTTCTGCATTATTTTTTCATTCAAATATAGATTGGCTACATGAATTAATTCTAACATCTCTGTTTACTTCTTCATTTTACTMATTTGTAAAACAGTGGGCTTTGGCTAGTTGGTATCTAGTTTTGCTTTGACTAGTATTTCTAATTTATTTGTTATTCTTGTTAGTTTTTGAAATTTAGAAATAAGCTACTTTTACTATACTGGTAGTTTTTTGTTTTTCTTTTTTCATCAAAAAAAGTTGGGTTTTGCTTCTGTAAAGTATAACTCAAGTCATTTTTCCAAGGACTTCTCTTAGATGGAATTCTCACTCCAATATTTCTGTATTTTATTCTTAAAAATTCTGAAGATTTTGTTAAACCTATAAACTCAATCCTAATGTATATGACTTATTCTTTCTCAGAGTGAAGATACACAACAGCAAATCATCCGGGAGACTTTCCATTTGGTATCTAAAAGAGATGAAAATGTTTGTAATTTCCTAGAAGGAGGATTGTAAGTAAAGCATTTATAGTGTTTCTAATTTTTTAACTATGTAATTGAATATATACTATTTAATAAAATGGGAAAAGATTCCTAATTTTTATCATTTGGTTTAGATAATTGATTACTACCTATATTAGTTATAAGTCTAATTTAAAGAATCTTTTAAGTTGTAAAAAATTTTGTAAGGACATTTTACATAAATTTTATTTTTATGGTAAAAATTGAAACATTATAGGGAAGTATAAAATGTTAATTGAGTCTCCCTCTCCCAATCTYAGTCCTTCCCAGTTTTATATATATCCTAGAAAATTCATTTTGCATTTACCAAAAAATTATACTTTTATACCAGCAAGCATGCTTATTGGCATGTTGCTTATTATTGCTTAATATTTTTAAAAACTTTTTATATAAACAAATCTAGAGCAGCCTTATATATTTTAATGGCTATAGAGTATTTCTTAGGGTGAACATTAATAAAAATTTGGAGTAAGTCAGGTACAGTGGCTWGGAGGAACGTTGGAACCTGAGGCGGGAGAATCCAAGTTTCAGGGTAGCTTGGACAACCTAGCAAGATCCTGTCTTAAAATAAAAATAATAGGGATAGAGCGGAACACAGTGGTATAGTGCTTTCCTAGCATGCACAAACCCCTGGGTTCAGTTCCCGATACCCCCCACAAAAAAATTTAGTTTTATCCTTTATTCTCGTATTATAAAAAAGACTAAAGTTTGTTTTTCAAATAAATCTATGTGTCTGTCTACATACCTATAGTATAAATTAGAATTCAGCTGACTTCTCTATTTTTAAAATGAATAAATAAAAATTACTTGTAATTAGCTTTTCAAGTATTATAAATTCTTTTAAATTAATAGATACTATSGAAATAGTTTGCTCATCACTGTTTTTATAAATATTTCTCCTCCTGTTTATGTAATTAATATACTTAATAATACATTTCTTCCCTGTGGCTCAGGAGGCTGAGACAGGAGGATCGCAAGTTCAAAGCGAGCCCTTAGTGAGGATCTTGCTAGGTTGTCCAAGCAACCCTGAAACTTGGATCTTCCTGCCTTAGGTTCCAACGTTCCTCCAAACCACTGTACCTGACTTACTCCAAATTTTTATTAATGTTCACCCTAAGAAGTACTCTATAGCCATTAACATATATGAGGTTGCTGTAGATTGCAAGTTCAAAGCCAGCCCTCCACTAAATTGCCCTAAACAATTTAGGGAGACCCTRTCTTAGAATAAAAAATATAAAGCACTGGGGATATGGCATAATGTTTAAGTATCCCTGGGTTTAAGCTTTGGTATCAAAAAACAAAACAACAAAAACATTTCTTGGTTGAGAAGTCAAACTAAATGGTGGCTTAGTCTCAGTATGAATATTCACAGATTGATTAGGCAAAACCTAGACTTTTATCTTAGTATATATGATTCATACTGTGAAAAAGTAGTTKGGGTAATGGAATTCATTCTTATCTGACCAAAAGTTACTTTTATCATGTAGAAAGTTTGCCTGCATTTCTTAAAAGTTTATATCATGCCACACCTAAATATATAATGCATACTTATAATTTGTTAAGTTTTACTGCTAACTTGAAATTTCTGATTTAATGATGGAGATAAAATGTACCTGCTTCCATATTTAAATTTTATTTGTAGTTATTCTCATAAACTTTTGTAGAATTTTGTAGTTTTTGCTATTATTATAATTTGCTCTCATCTCAGCCTCTTAATTTCTCATCTCATAGGAGTAGAAAGCAGATACTATAACTGAGACAAAGCTGTACACATCTAGCTTAGTCCTAGTTTCATGACTGACAAGCTAATTTCCTCAATCAGCTTGCTCATATTCTTGGACCTCAGTTTATCTCCTAAAATGAGGCAACTTGGACTACAAATATTTCTAAAATTTTGTGTTTTATTTGCATTCACAGAGCATTCCTATCAGTATTGTACTATAAAGATGAAATTATGGTTTTAAAAGCAAAATATGTACTTACTATATTATTAATTTTGGTTTCTTTTAATAAGATTCATGGCCATTTGACAACTATGAATCTTCAGAAACTTGGACCTCTTTCAAAGCAAAGCAAAAGAAAAATTTTAGAAAATCACTATACTACTWATTCTAAAAGAAATGAAGCCTGCTGTTTGTGTTCTTTTTGTTCCTTTCAGGGAACAATTGTGGCTATAATCATAAATATAATCTCAGAATTTTTAAAGTAGACTTCTAAATATTTTGTCTAGCATAGAAGGAATTCTTAACTATTTTCAGAGGTCATTTCACCTTTGCTATTAGAGGACAAAGGAAACATGTACTTAGGGAAGTCATTTCTACAAAACTCATAAGTTTAATATTACTAAACACATGCTGTTTTCCTGTATTCTATTTGAATTTTCAGTTAGCTTTGATTACATTTTGCCTTGATTTTTTTTTTAATTTGTTGGTGTTAAGATCTTGGTTGTAAATCTAAAACTTAAGAAATGTCATTCTTTTTTTTTTTTTTTTCCTAGCTGATAATCAGTCTTAAGCTGTGTAATTTACTGTGACCTATGGAGTTAAATCTAGTAAGCACTTAAAAATGTCCTGTGATCTAATTTCTACCTCCTTCTTTTACCTCACTGTTCACTAATCCTTTCTTGCCCACTGGCCTTCTTTTCTCTTCTCAGAARCATACATTCTTTGTTCTTGATGAAGTGGCCTTTTTATTAGTTGTTACCTTAGCTTGAATGCTCATCCCTAAGTTTTTTCATGGCTGGCTGCTAGTCAGTAGATTTCAGCCTAAATGTCACTCTTTCTTAATCTTTAGTCTGAAGTAGTAAACCCTTCAGTATGACATTGTCCTATTTTGATTTTATATRTAGGGTCATCTACCATCTGGTAATCTTATTTGTTTGTTGATCTTTATGTACTTTCGGTGCCTAGCACCTAGTAATCAGTGAATAGTTCACTGAATATATGAACTAAAATTAAACACTGGCTTCTTTCACTTGACATTTCTGAGGAAAATAGTCATCTTAATTTACTTAGTTTCTGAAATAAGTTCATTTGAATGTTTCATTTTATAAGAGGTTTTAAACATATTGTTACTTTGTTTGARCTAAGGCAAATGATTTGAATTTTGTTCCCCTTAACATTTCAATTGTTTTGTTTTGTCATTTAGATTAATTGGAGGATCTGACAACAAACTGATTTATAGACATTATGCCACCCTATATTTTGTCTTCTGTGTGGATTCTTCAGAAAGTGAACTCGGCATTTTAGATCTAATTCAAGTAAGTTAACAGCTGCTTCTTAATGTTTTAAGTGACAGTTTTATGTTTTTTGAAACTTTTATGTATAAAATTTTCTAAGAACTGGAGTGTAACTCATTGGTAGAATGCTTGCCTRGCATGCTGAGACCCTGGATTAAATTCATAGCACTGAAAAGATTTTTTTTTCCCCCTGGAATGATGTTTTGTACGATTAGAAAAAAAAAAATTGTTTCATAAGCTTTTGGGTGGATGAAAGAATAGAGACTATAGAAATAAGCAGACTAATTTAATCTGATTAAAACTAATCTCAACTGATTTCATCATGCTTTTTTCCTGTTCATGTGAATTACCACKAGGAGCCAAAAACTCATGGATCTCTCACCACATGTATCCAAATCTGACTCTAAAACCTACTTCCCGTCTCCTGAAAAATCTTTTCTAACGTCCCTACAACTTTTATCGTTAATCTCTTATTTATATTACTTCACTTTTTTTCTAAGTTAAATCTTCCTTTTCTTATGATACTACCTTCAACCCTCTCAAGTAGTAGCTGTTTTCTCTTGCTTTTTTTATATCACTGAGCCTGGAGGTATGCTCTTTGCTTTTTCCAGAACATTCTCTCTTCTAAAATAACTCCAGATTTTATCGTATATTATCCCTTTTCTGCATTTGGTTGCAGTCATTTCTTTCTATCTCCCATTTCTTGGAGATTCTGTTAACTGTCAAAGGTCTGAGATTTTACTTTGTTTGCAAGCTGACAAGTTAACCTTCATAGTTTCATGGATGTTGGCATAAGATAGGAAACTTCTGGGCCAGAGATAAAAGACTTTATTACTAATGGCAAAAACATGATTTAAAAAAAAAATCAGTTAAAATAACAACATTTGCTTTCGCTGTTCCTCAGTTTGAGGAGTGCCATGAAGAGGGCCAGGAGAGACGTGTGTGTATACAGTATATTGAATTACATACAAGAAACCTCAAGCTTAGGGATCTGGAATTTTGATAAGGGGCACAGAACATGTCTGCCTTTGTTTGGCAGGAAAATATTGTCTTTTTCTTCGTGTTTTTCTCTGGAGGAGGATGCTCTCAGTTTTCTAAAGGTGTTTGGTATATAGCATGCTGTAAAAGATAATCCAGAACAAAGATAGTGTGTTTCCACTCACAGTATCTGCAGAAACATGAAATACACAGAGAATTGTCTCCTAACAGATTTTATTTTCTGTTCGCTGAAAATGAACTCCAAGACTGTTTATAATTCTTGGTGATTTCAATGTTTCTGTGTATAAATTTTCCAATAGCCTGGTGTCTTCTTGAAACCTGGTACTCTTCCTCCAAAGAATTTTGCCTTCTAAATCATCTTACTAATAATTCCTAGACCTTATTTTTATCTGGACTTCAGTCATTTCATAATCTCAATTTCAGTTTTTTTTCTTTTGTCAACACCTCTTATCTTTTCATATTAGTTCCTTCAACAAGCCTTTGGGCCTATCAGGTCCCTTCATTTTAAAAATTGAATTAGAAAAATTTTTTACTCTGTGATCCTGCCATCCTACCTTTCCTTCCTCAGATTAAATTCCAGTCTGTCATTATAATCTTAGCTCTGTACTCTTAGTTCCTTGCCTGCATTCACACATGTGAAAATATCTAGAGGAAAAGAAACAACCATACTTCCTGGTCTCACTTTTTTCCTTTATTTTTTTATTCTAATTTGTTATATATGACAGCAGAATGCATTACAATTCGTATTACACATATAGTGCATGATTTTTTATATCTCTGATTTTACACAAAATAGAGTCACATCTTTCATGTCTTCATACATGTATTTAGGGTAATGATGTCCATCTCATTCCACCATCTTTCCTACCCTCATGCCCCCCCATCCCTCTTCCCCTTTGCTCTGTCTAGAGTTTGTCTATTCCTCCCATGCTCCCCGCCAACCCCATTATGAATCAGCATCCTTATATCAGAGAAAACATTTAGCATTTGTTTTTTGGGGATTGGCTAACTTCACTTAGTATTATATTCTCCAACTCCATCCATTTACCTGCAAATGCCATGATTTTATTCTCTGTTAATGCTGCATAATATTCCATTGTGTGTGTGTGTGTGTGTGTGTATACATATATGCCACATTTTCTTTATCCATTAATCTACTGAAGGGCATCTAAGTTGGTTCCACAATTTAGCTATAGTGAATTGTGCTGCTTTGTTTGGCAGGAAAATATTATCTCTTTCTGTAAAGATTGATGTGACTGTGTCCTGGTAATATGCTGTTTTTAAGTCCTTTGGGTATAGACTGAGGAGTGGGATAGCTGGGTCAAATGGTGGTTCCATTCCCAGTTTTCCAAGGAATCTCTATACTGCTTTCCATATTGGCTGCACCAATTTGCAGTCCCACCAGCAATGTWTGAGTGTGCCTTTTCCCCCACATCCTCGCCAATACTTATTGTTGTTTGTATTCTTAATAGCTGCCTTTTTGACTGGAGTGAGATGAAATCTTGGAGTAGTTTTGATTTGCATTTCTCTAATTGCTAGAGATGTTGAACATTTTTTCATATATTTGTTGATTGTATATCATCTTCTGAGAAGTGTCTRTTCAGTTCTTTGGCCCATTTATTGATTGGGTTATTTGTTTTTTTGGTGTTAAGATTTTTGAGTTCTTTATATACCCTAGAGATTAATGCTCTGTCTGATGTACATGTGGTAAAAATTCTCTCCCAAAATGTAGGCTCTCTATTCACCTCAATGATTGTTTGTTTTGCTGAGAAGAAGCTTTTTAATTTGAATCCAACCCATTTATTGATTCTTGATTTTAATTCTTGTGCTATAGGAGTCTTATTAAGGAAGTTGGGGCCTAATCCAACATGATGAAAATTTGGGCCTACTTTTTCTTCTATTAAATTCAGTGTCTCTGAACTAATTCCTAGGTCCTTGATCCACTTTGAATTTTGTGCATGGTGAGAGATAGGGATTTAATTTCATTTTGTTGCACACCTGGTCTCACTTTTAATTCATGATCCCTAATCTCATGAGTTCTTAATGCTACCCAGTAATCAGATTTTATTTACTCTCATACTTCTATATGACTTCTGATGTATCCTGCTTTCTGTTCAAACCTGTAGCACTGTTTCCACCTTGCTGCTTAGATCAAAGATAAAATTGAGTCAATCAGAAGAGAATTTCTGCAGGCTTCCACTATCTACCTAGCTATCTACATCTATGTCTATGTATTTTTCTTTGTCTTCTGTGAGAAAGGAACTCACCATGCTCTCTGCTAAGGACAATTCATGCACTCATATAGTAGTTTTTACCTTGTCATCATTCTAGCAATCCTCCTTTTTTTCTTTTATATCTTTATTTTTTCCTGTCTTTTAAATCATTCCTACCAACCTACAAGATGTTCTTTCATTTTTTTWAAAAAAAGAATCTTTCCCCTAGTTCACTCTCCAGCCATTGCTTCATTTTGTTCCCTCCCTTGAGAATAAAACACTTTTTAAAAAGGATATACTATCTCAGATTTTTCTTCTTCTCTCTTAAGCCCTCCAGTCAGACATCTAACCTTACTGTTGCTGAATCCAAGTGTTCTCATCTTTATTTGATGAAATACTTGCTTTACTTGGTTTCTAGGACAACCTGCTTATCTAATCTAAACTTTGATAATGTTTAGACCTAGGGTTCCATCCTTGAATGTCTTCACTTTTTTGGCTCTATTCATTTGCTAGGTGATTTTACCCAAATGTTATGTATTGATGACATCAACATTTAAGTCTTCAGCCTAGACCTTTCTTYTACTACCTATTGGGCAGCTCCTTTGGGTATCTTATAAAGACCTCAAACTTAACATATTCCAAACTGTAGTAGTCCATCAAAAATCTGTACCTCCTGCACTTTTCCCTTATCATTTAATAGTAACTTCACTCTTACAGTTGAACCAGCCAAATCTTGGCTTTTCCTTGACTTTGATTTTCTGATCCCTCCCACATATGTTTCTTCCACAAATCCTWTTGGATACACAGGATCTGACTGATTACTTCCTTCTGCACTGCCACCACCTTGGTCCAAGCCATCATAATTCTTGCCTGGATTATATTAGTAGTTTTCTGATTGGTCTCCCTGCTTTCACTGTTTTGTCTGTTTTCTCTTTAGTCTTTTCTCTGTGCAACAACCAGAGTGACATTATTAAAGTACATGCCTTATGCTCTTTCATCCAAAATTCTTCCATGACTTCATTTTTCACTCAGAGTAAAAGCCAGATTCTTTAACCATGCTGCCATGAATGATCTGACTCCTGTCCCCTGTTACTTATCTTACTTCATCATCTAATTCCTTCRTCATCCAAAATTTCTTTCCGCTTTGCTTAGTCTCCTTGCTGTTTCTCACATATACTAGACATGCCTGTATCTCAGAGCCTTTTGTACTTGCTGATCTTTGCACCTAGAATGTTTTTCTATTTGATACTCCCATTGCTAGCTCCATCATTCTTTCAGATWTTGACCCAGATATAACCTTCTCAATATGGTATTCTCTGGCCATTCTTCCTAAAAATTCTACATTTYCTAACCCCTTGCCTGTTTTTATTATTCTTTTCCTTAGCACCTATCACCAATATAGTATATAGTTGACCTACTTTGTTGTTTTTGTTATCATTTACCCTTATTAGAATATAAGCTCTGTGATGGCTAGGGTTTTCATTTATTTTGTTTACCTATTTATTCCTAGTGTATAGAGTGGCTTCATACATATAGTGGGTACTCAAACAATTATTGCTGAAAGAGTAAGTGAGCTAGTGAATGAGTGAGTACAGTTAAAGCCTCATATTTAGCATTCTATGTAAAATATCARAGGTTAAAGGAGTTAGCTAGAACTTAAAATATAATAGTTACTAAATGGCACAGAAGTTACTAAATAAATATAATAGTTACTAACACCATTTAAAAAATCTGAGCTAAGTTGTTATGTTTAATTTATGAAAACCAGTAAGTTCTGTATACACTTAGGATTTTTGTATTTCCTCTTTA